CCACTATACTGTTACTGTTCTCCCGCCGTCCTCGGAATTTTCCGTCCCCGACCTGATTGCACCACTCGCCATCCGCCAAGATTCTGAATGTGCCGGGACGAAAAAGCTGTCCAGATGCGTTCAAACAAAAACAAAATGGTGCATGCAACTACCGGTAGGCCCTTTGTAGTCTCTGTGGTCGCGCAGGCAGGTGGCGGGCATTTGCAGCCGAAGCCGCCGGCATATTGCGTAGTGTGAGGTGAAATTGAGAGAAGAATATGGGCCTCCAATTGCCGCCTCCAGTCCGCCTGCCGCCGGCAGCCCTACTCGAACAAAATTTCGTCAATTTCCCATTCCCGGGGACTGACTGCTAGAGCTGCCGCCCGTGCCTCCCACTTCGTAAAATCCGTGTTACTCCTGCTGCTGCTCCTGCTCCTGCTCCTGCCACTTGTACTGCCACTCCCACTGCCACCGCCAGTGGGATTCTCACTTCTCACATTAGGAAAAGCGCGCTCAGCTGCTGTCTCCCCTCCCCGCTTTCCGCTGGTGGCCGACGACGATGCCTGACGTTGACTTTTCAACCGACACTTCACCCGCCGAATGCCTAACTACCGGTAGCCAGAAACGAACAGCGTCGGGCAGAGGACAAAACAAAATGCTGACAACGAGAATGAGAATAGAAGATGCGGCGCGCGCTGGATCTCTCCGGGATCAGAAACTGCCGCCTGCGCACCGCGCAAGTGTTTTCTCGCCGCCGACGTACACCCTGCTGTGCGCCCACCTGCCAACTTTCCGAGCGAGCAAGGTGGGAACTCCAGATGACAACGCCCTTGGGCCTCTGCGCACCACTCACCAATTGGGAAAAAGACAAAAACATGGCCGGCGGCCTGCGGGCCTAGCTCAGTTGGTAAGGCACAGAAGTTGGATTCGGGAGGGCGTGGGTTCAATCCCAGTTCACCTCAGGTATGTGCCTGGGCAAGCTTGGTGTTCTACCGGCTAGAGATAACCCGTTGCCCCCCCAAGCCAGCATTGGCAGGACCTTGGCTGATGCTGTTGGCTGCTATGCAGTGACAATATTGGCCATTAGACACCACCATGTGGGGTTATCAGACACCACCATGTGGCGTAGGCCGTTAGACACCACCATGTGGGGTTGGGGGGGGTTAGGCGGAGGTGCAGTGACTGGCCGTTGCTCGGTGCTACCTTCTTCCCCCGAACATAACGCATATGCATTGTATTTGAGTTTTCCAAATAGGCACTTCCGAGAGGCCGCGTTATGGTGCGAATGCGAAGCACAAAACGTAAGATCACTGCCTTTCTTTTTCCAGCTTCCCACTTTCATTGATTTCATGCGCAGTATATTTTTTTTGTTGAGTTCCGGATACACATAAACAAAAACCAATAGTACTGGCAACAATTTCTTTTTGCTCAAACCTTCTGCACCAATGAATATGATTTTGTCACATAGAGGAGTTCCCGAAACCGGGTGATCATAAGCAAGTTGAAGAGAGTCCTAACGGGCCGTGGAGGACCGAACCCACGTATGTGCCAAAATACGGGGATGACTTTGTGGCTAGGGGTAAATAAAGAAAGAGTAAGAATCAATCATCCAAGTATATTCTTCAAAAACACCGCGTTTTTTTGAGTTAGTACCCTTTTTCAAATAGAAGGGCACTCTGAATAAAATGTGCGTTCTAATCAGATTTCGGAAAGAGAAATATGTTTTTTTTAATAGACTCTTGCTTTCGTTTTTTTTTTTTTTTTTTCATTTTCGTCCTGGCTCCTGCAACTCTTGGTGCAGCGAGTTGCGCAAGAAAAAGGAAAATGAAGAAAGTTGAACTCACTTGTAGCTCACCTTCTCTCTCTCTCTCTCTCTCTCTCTCTCTCTCTCTCTCTCTCTCTCTCTCTCTCTCTCTCTCTCTCTCTCTCTCTCTCTCTCTCCCCCCACAGCTATGGTGACAACCTACCCCACGGGCTTGGGAGAGATGTGGGTTGGTTGGTGTTCTCACGTACTATATATAGACTAGTGAGAGGATGAGGTAGATGCGTACTACCAAGAAAGATGAAAAAGATGAGAGAAGAATATAGCTTACCTTTAATATAATATATATATATATATGGCGGGTGCATGTCGCCAGGTTGTAACCAACAATACATTCTCCATTTATACATTCGGTCAGTGGTGCGGTGGGGCCGTGCGGCGGGTCATGGCATCCGAAGGCAAGCTATTAACCCAAAGAGACCTGACTGTATTTTTCCTTGTTTTGTGCCACTCGCTACTGTGGTTTTGAGTTTTTGGAGTTTGGGGAACGAACGGGGTACTTCCACCGGCGCTACGACACTCGGACCAAACACAAACGAACCGGTAACGTAGGTATGCTTGAGCAGAGGTGCTACCGCCGGTATAGCGCCACGGTGGGTCTGGGCTACGGGGCCGCTTCACTTTGCCTAAAGGGCTGACTCCTTGTGGTTGGGAAGGAGTTCTCGGTAGCCATGAGTATTTGGGAGTTCTGCCATAGTCTTAGCTTCAGTATTGGTTACCTTCCTATCTTATCTATCTTATAAGGTTTTTATTTGTGTCGATATCTAACCAGTGTTTATGTTGTATTTATCTTACCATCCTCTTATGGGTATAATGGCAGAAGAGATTGAGATGGAGAGTTAGGCAAGGTCGCCCTCATCAGATCCAGGGGGGCGGGCAGCAGAGGACGAGCATGTGAAGAAACTAATTAGACTATGAAGAGGGGGTCATTTCCCCGGATATCAATCCCAGGGAAATGACGGTCCAAGGCAGAGAGATAAGATTCAAGATAAACGTTGTCGAGCGTATCGGCCCCCGCGTGAGCGAGGGCCCTTCCGGCTATGCCACGCAGGAGTTAAAACAAAACAAAACCACGAGACAACTTAGGACGATGCATAATTGATCCCGCAAACCGCGGAGACGGACGCGGTTGCATTGTCCCTTCGCCGCTCTAGCCGGGTGCGCCAGATGTACATCCCACGGTCCCCTACGACAGGATACGTTCTCGCAGGGCACATCTTACTTTCCCTAAGGGGTCGTCACCACCTTCAGGGGCGTATCCCTACCGAGCTACTGACCCACGTGCGAAAACTTTTACATGCAATTGTAGAGGTAGGTCAGCCGAGGGCGTTTGCTTGTTCGCTGGAGTATAGGTACGCTTGGTTAATGCCAAGTGGACCCGAACATCGTCCGTCTCCTAGGGCGTTGATCTCCTAGGTAGGAACGAACGTCGGTCGACTAGGACGGTCTCAACCAAACGCGAAACCCACAATATTATCCTAGCCCCTTTAACACACAGTTAAAGGATGGTTAAAATATTCACACATATAATTACATCAAATAGAATCGGCTGTCGTCGATAGGAATATACATCTGATCAAAAATGATAACTGAAAAAATCAAAATCATCATTTGATACATTCAACAACACGATATCAAAATAAAATCCGACCACTCCGGGTCAAATAAAACAATCATACAGCCGCCAACGAGAAGTTGACTATCGATAATAACATTGATACAGCCGACAAGGTAGTTGGACTGCCATAGTTTTGA